TATATATATTCATACACACACACACACACACACACACACACATTTTTATTAATTTTTGAACATATCATTTCCAACAGTCATTTAACATAACTTCTTATCTTATAAAATATTTTAGACTTCCGTAAACAATCTCTGAAAATTTTCCGTTCTTTATCACTTGTTCTGCATTTCTTAGTTTCTCTATTACTTTTAATTATCATGAACTAATAATTCTCTTCATAGTCTTCCTTGGAATATTTCACATAATCCTCCTTACAGAACTTCTTGCAGTCCTACTAGTGTAATCTGTTTATTACAATTGCTTTTCAAATAGTTCAAATATTTACTCCAGTCTTCTAAGAATCTCTGGTCCCGCAGGTTTCAAATCCTTCCTGTTAATTTATCTAATTCTGCACAGTCCGTTAATTTCATTTGCCATTCTTCTTTCGTCGGTAATTCTTCTGGCTTCCATTTTTGTGCCAATAATATTCTTGCTGCCGTTGTTGCATATAAAAACAACTGACAATTCTGTCTGTTTATATCCTCCCCTACAATGCCAAGTAAAAATGCTTCTGGTTTTTTAGTAAATGTATATTTCAACATCTTTTCATCTCATTGTATATCATCTCCCAGAAGTGTTTCACTTTCTTACATTCCCACCACATGTTGTTAAAATATTAGCCTTTCCAGGGGAGATTTACCAAATCGGACTTGAAATACCGATATAATGACATATTGTTGTTAGCCGCCCTGAGCCTAGCTTCGGCTGGGGAGGGCGGGATATAAATAAAAATTATTATTATTATTATTATTATTAAGAGCTCACCTCCCCCTATGACTATTTATAACTGTGCAGCTCAGTCTTATTTCGTAATGGCGGCTTCCCAATTACTAAGAACCCATCCAAAGTTTTTTGAAGTCTCTCCGGTGGCTAACGAGATCCCGCTTCTTTCTAAAATCAGTATTTGGAGGGTCTTTTATCTTCATCCAGGCTGTTGGAATGAATCCATGACAGACGAGTGGCAGGTGTCATATGAGGCGTCTGCCGGGGCAAGCCCCGGGAACTCTCTTTTATTGAATATTACAAACATTGCCACAGGTGTGCTTGTGGCTGATTGGTTGATACAAACACAAAGCAACTTGTTGCTGATTGGTTAACATAGGTACAAGGCGGGAATTACATATAACCATTTATCACTGATAGATGAAAGGCTGGGAAACGGAGCTGGAACTAGACAGGCATGAAACCTCCTAATTAAATTATAACTAAAGATTAATATAGTATGACTAAAACAATTACTAATGATTGATCATAACATGAAAGAATATAATAATTGAGTTCCGTAGATGTGGTCAGCTGTGCATTAAGAACAGGTCATATTGTTTGTTCATGAACTTAATGTGAACTGAGGAATGAGGGAATGTCTTGGTGTGTTTAGAACCGGTTGGTACAGTGTGTGCAGAAGCAGAGAAAAGATTATGAGCGAGACTTCCCAGAATGCAAGAGAAAAGAAGCAATAGTACCCATAGCAAGACTTCCCATAATGCCAGTTATGTGCAGTAAGAGAACTGCAGAAAGAGAACTTCCCTTTATCTCCCCCTTTCTTTTCTTGTTTGCGAGGCATTCTGGGTAAATAAGGCAAAAATACTTCGGGATTAGTGGTGTGCCAGCGAATGCCCAAAATAAGTTCGCCAGGGTTGATGGGACAAAAATATTTCGGGATACGTGGTTTGCCAGCGCATGCCCAAAATAAGTTCGCCAGGGTCGATGGGACAAAAATATTTCGGGATACGTGGTTTGCCAGCGCATGCCCAAAATAAGTCTGCCAACATCTCCCCTTTGGTTTACTGTTGGTGTTGCCATTTCGCAAAGTAGGCAGCAAGTAGTTTATTGGGTGGCTGAGGGGGAGAGAGAAGCCGAGAGAAAAGACTTATGAGGCTAGGAACGCATTGAAGGAAGCAGCATAGCAAAGTTAATATACATATTATGACAATAGCATATTGAAAAAGACTACGAAGCCAAGTAAGGTTAGGCAGCCAAGCGGTAAGCCACTGGGTGAAAGAATCCCAGAGGCCAGAAAAACCAATGTCCTGTTTAATGTGATGTGTAAGATTTTGCAAATGAGAGATTTGACTTTGAATGGCTCTAGAATTGTCAGTAATATTGAAACTGTGGGAGTCATAAAGCCACGGTAAAGGCTTGTAATATTGCAGGGTGCCCCCTGACCTCGGCTGACCAGCACTCTGAGCTTTACAGTGTATTGGAATGTGTTGACCTTAAATGGAGTTGTATTTCCTCTGGGCAGTGATGACCTTATATGGTTTGTGGGTGGGTTAAAGCCTTGACCGGATGAGGTAACGTGAGACATTGGCAAACGGCCATGCGGCTGGAGAGAGACAAAGGATAAATAAAGAAGCTGCAGGAGGAGAGGGAAGTTCGAAAGGAGCTGCTCATACCATCCTGAAAATATTGCTGGCTCTCTGTGTCTTTATTTTATGCTAAACTGCGCCACTTGTAACGGCTGGCTCCGACAAGTGGTGCCCCGTGTGAGGCAGAATAAAAGAATACGTCTGAGGCTTTTAAAAGAAAACCGTGTGAGGCAACTTAAAGAAAACAGTCTGAGGCAGACTAAGAGGACTTTAAAAGGAAACTGTGTGAGGTTTTTCGATCCAAGCAAAGGATATCATTGGCTCACCACGCCCGGCAAGGGTTCCATAGCGCTAATCATCTTGAAAAGATCCCGGTGAGTTTCGATCCCTTTTTTTTATATTGATTTTAGAAAAATGGGCCACTCTTTGTCTGCTCCCCAACAGAAATTTTTAAAAGACTTAAAATTTCTCCTCTCCTCCAACAAATTGGAAGTTCCGGAGGGTGATTTAATACAGCTCATTCTGGCCATCGAAGAGCATTCCCCCTGGTTTCCTGCAGATGGGACTTGGGAATTAAAACTTTGGGACAAGATTGGGGCACATTTTCATGGGCACCCCAGCATAGGTGTTCGGATTCTAAATGCATGGTGCAAGGTTCGTTACGCCATGGACTCTTTATCACCAAAAAATATCTCCATGGCTGCAGTGCCAACACAACCTTCAGCTTCTTTAATTCAGCCTGCTGTGCTGCCATCTGTTCCAATACTTGCTTTGCCAGCAGCTCCAGACCCCAAACCTCCGGACTACAGTTCCTCACCTGAGGACCCAATCCTGCAAAAATACCGTGGTCTGGCTGGCAATGATCCTGCTCTTTCAGCGGCAGAACCAGAACCAGAACCTTTTCAACGTGCAGTCCTTGCCTGTTCCTTAATTCAGGATACTATGGCATTCCCTGTTATTGTGCCCCCTGCTGGTGCCCCGGCAGGCACCCAAGCCCAACACCAACCTTTTGACTTTAAGATTTTGAAAGAGCTGCAACAGTCAGTAAAGGCCAATGGACTCCAAGCTCCATATACGCAGGCGCTTTTAGAAGCCACATTAGCCCAGCTCTTGGTTCCAGAGGACATCAAGCTTTTGGCCCATACAGTGTTACCCCCATCGGCTGGTGTTTTGTTTGCCCACGAATGGGAAACTGCCTGCCGTGCTTATGCTCCAGCCTTGTTACAACAAGTCAGAGGAAATAATCCAAATGTTACCCTTGCAGACGTCACAGATGCCATGTTGGGGCGTGGTCCCTTCGCTCAAGCTTCAGTGCAAGCCACACTGCTGCAAATCTTATTGAGGGACACTGCTCTTGCTGCTAAACAAGCAATGAGAAAAATCCCAGAACCCAGTATTCAGTCAAGGTGGGGTTCAATCAGGCAAGAGGCAAGAGAATCATATTCTTCCTTTATGGATAGGCTGCTTACAGCAGTGAGTCGCCAAATTGAAAATCCTGAAGCCAAACAAATAATTATCAAACAATTGGCCTTTGAAAATGCCAATGAGGATTGTAAGGTTGCATTACGACCGATAATACACAATCCTGCCACAGACACAGCAGCCATGCTTCGCATTTGTCAGTCTGTAGCTACAGCCACCCACAAGGCTCATCTGCTGGCAACAGCGCTAAATGAAAACCAGCCTGTAGCCACCGATACAGCTTGTTTCCAGTGTGGCAAACCAGGATCACCGATACCCCAGTGGGGGTAGAACAGTGGCCTCTACCAAAAGAAAAATCCGCAGCAGCGGCACCAGCTATTCTGACCAGCTTATTTCTGAACAATTGACTTTCGGCCACATTGAACCATTTTCATCCCACTGGCTCCAGCAGACAGGGAACGGTTTGCTTTTACATTGCCAGTATATAACAATTCGCAGCCCACCCAGCGATATCAGTGGGTTGTCCTGCCTCAAGGCATGCGGAACTTCCCTACACTTTGTCAACATTTTGTGGGTGAAGCATTGAAACCTTTCCACATGCGCCACCTAGAGGTGCTGCACACAAGCTGCATCTGGCAGTGTTTGCCTTCCTAACCATTTGCCTTGCCATCCTTTGCTGCACCGTTATACAAGGAAGAGAAGCAGACGACCAGTCCAGTTGAAACCACCATATTTCACCTCATCGGCTGGCAAGCAGCTGTCGCCAGAATCCTACTCTGGCTGGCAGTATCCACGGCTCAGCCACTTTCGAACTAGAAGAACAGCGTTGTTGAATAAGACTTTTAGGGGAGAAAATTATCATAAGATATGGAGGGATAATATTTTTGTACACGATATGATTATGTTTGCCAGTTTATTGCATGCTTCTAAATGTTGGGTGTCTATGCCAGTCATTCAGGCATAATGCTTCATGGTGTGCCTGTCAATGGATCTTTTCAATTTACTAATATTATATCCCCTAAGCAAACTTTTTGGCCTCCAGTACAATTGACCCTCCATGAGCCTGCCCCCATTTATTTTCAAATTAAGGAGGGGAAAGAATCATGGGGCATATATCCAAACTGTCAATATACATTGAATTTCACTTTTAATAGCTCTTGTTCTCTTACAGGAACATACAGTGACCAATCTCAGTGCTATAGGAGTGACACCAGTGCATGGCTAATAAACTAGCAAGGAAGCCTACCATGCAGCTTGGAATCAGAATTCTTATATTCTTGGCTTCCGGATGGAAGTTGGCTTCGACATTTATTGATTTTAGTGATCATTATAGTAGTTATTTGCATTATTTTGTGTTGCTGTATCCAATGTATTCCTTCTTTAATTTCTATATGTACTGCATGGTTCTCCAGTCCGTGGCCCGCTTCCGGTGTCAAAGAGTCGCTTATCGCGCTCGATATAACCGTATTGGTACTGATATATATGGCTATGAAATAAAATAAAGAAAGAGGGCATGTGGGAGTCATAAAGCCACAGTAAAGGCTTGTAATATTGCAGGGTGCCCCCTGACCTCGGCTGACCAGCACTCTGAGCTTTACAATGTATTGGAATGTGTTGACCTTAAATGGAGTTGTATTTCCTCTGGGCAGTGATGACCTTATATGGTTTGTGGGTGGGTTAAAGCCTTGACCGGATGAGGTAACGTGAGACATTGGCAAACGGCCATGCGGCTGGAGAGAGACAAAGGATAAATAAAGAAGCTGCAGGAGGAGAGGGAAGTTCGAAAGGAGCTGCTCATACCATCCTGAAAATATTGCTGGCTCTCTGTGTCTTTATTTTATGCTAAACTGCGCCACTTGTAACGGCTGGCTCCGACAAACAACACATGTCATTCACTTGTTCACAGCCATAATGATGAAGCATCAACAAATAATCTATAGCAGCACGGTTCTGTAAAAGCCCATGCTGGAGTTCACTTTGCTCTTTATTCAAAAGGTGAAGGGCTTGAGAAGTATAATTCAGGGCTTTTGCTGCAGAACAAGCTAGAGAATTAATATTTCTACTATTGCGTACAGCCAATCCAGGGACTCCTAAGAGAGAGACAGCTAAGGAGATATATTCAGACCTACTGGGAAGAGAAATTGAATCATCACAGTCGTTAGTTAATTCAATAGAGCGGCGATGTCGAGAGCGGGTCAAATGATGCTTTTGGGTAATACAATGGACAAACGGCTTAAACAACAGGGTGTTCCATGGCTGATGTTTGCTGGAATGTAATTAAATGTATAGCCAGGACACGACCAGAACCAACCTGCAGGTAGTTCTGTGTATTTATATACATAGGAAATATTTACATAATCAGAGCAGTGGAAGTTATCAGTGGCCATTTTCACGCAATTGGTTTTTGTGCAATTCACCATACGGGTGCAAGTGACATTAAAGGAAGCCATGTATGGGGTCAATAAGTCAATGGCCAGAGATGGGCGGCGGCGCACTTGGTTACCCCAGACATAGTAACCGGAATAACCAAGGGTGCGGAGAGAATCATTCTTGGGTAGGGATGAGAAAAACCAGGTATCATTTTGTATTTCAAAAGGGTCATGGCAAACAGGGATAAGGCAGGAACCAAGAATTTCCCCTATAGATACCTGTTGGGTTAGGCAAAAGGAAGAAATATTGAGGGTCTTTGCAAAAGATTCCCACACATTTGTTGGTGTGTGGGTATCACTAGTAGGAGTGGAGGCAGAAAGAGGCAAAAACAAAACGCTGAGAATGAGCACTATCATGGAATTAATGTTAAGGCAGGAAATAACGCACAGAAGCAAATTCTCAGGGGTTGCTTCAAGCTGCTTTTCCTTTCTAAGCTGTTCAGCCTGACATGAGAGTGATTTTATTTGGCCCCATGTCACAGGTCCATTACGAATTCCCGCTTGCGAGTCCTGGGGGGGCTGGACGTTGCAGCCTGGGCGATCCGTAGTTTGCGGTCGAACTGCGGTATCGGATCCAGAAGGGTCTGTCGCCACGCCATGGTATAGGCGGATGCAGCGTGCGGGAACCCAGCGAGCACCCTGTGGAGTAGAAACTGCAGCGTAACCCTTTCCCCAGGTGATCAGTTTTACAGGTTCACTCCATTCGTTGGAGGGTAATATCTTATAGCGGACCAGTGGGGCTGGGAGTATCTCTGTTTGTTGAAAATGCTTCTGCAGGCGAGTATAAGATTGATGATCCTGTATGGAAACATTCAAATGGTTGAGAGTAAAGAGAACACTGGCCAGCCAGCCTTCCTTTTCGGAAAGTGAGGCTGGGACTCCGGCCTTCTTTTCCTGGCGAAGCAAAGCAGTTTTCAAGGTGCGATTGGCACGTTCAACAATCGCTTGGCCTTGAGAATTGTAGGGGATGCCAAATAAATGGTGAATATTCCAAGTTTCACAGAACTGAGCAAAGGTTTTTGCACAGTACGCTGGGGCATTGTCAGTTTTCAAGGAATGAGGCTTGCCCATGACTGACATGGTACGAACAAGATGATTGCGAACATGCTTAACTTGTTCTCCCCTTTGAGGGGTGGCCCAAATAAAGCCAGAGAACGTATCAACGCAAACATGTATGAACTTCCAAGGTGAAAAAGGGGCGAAGTGAGTTACATCCATTTGCCACAACTGGTTGGATGCCAGCCCACGGGGATTAACACCAGGGCTGGGGTGGCCAATCTGATTAGAGCATTGAGGGCATTGTTGGATGATTGCACGTGCCGCTTCCAACGGGATTTGGAACTGGCGGCTAAGGGCTTTCGCATTTTGATGATGGAAAGCATGACTTTCAATAGGGGAAACAGGCAAAGCTCTAAGCAAGGAATCTGCTTTTGCATTGCCATCAGTGATAAAGCCTGGGAAGGGTTGGTGAGAGCGAATGTGCACCACAAATAGAGGGTGGGAGCAAGTAGAAAGAAGCAATTGTAAGGATAGGAAAAGGCTCAATAAGTTATGACATTTGCAACATAAAGACTGTCCACGATCAAATTTAAAGGCTGCTTGGAGAAGTGGTGCAGAGCTTTGACAGCAGCTGCTAACTCAGAACGCTGGGCAGATTTTTGTGGAAGAGTGTAGAGGCTGTGCCATTCCTCATTTTGTTGCCAGGCAACTACCCCCCTGGAGGGGGATCCGTCAGTAAAGACAGTAGGGGCGTCCAAAAGGGCAGGAGATAATATGGTTGAGAAAGACAGGGAGAATTGTTTGCTCATTTGCAGGCGAGGGTCAGCTGGGATATGGCAATCCACTTGGCCAACAAAATCGGCTAAAACGCACTGCAAATCCATGCTAGTGGAGAGAGCAGTTTCCCATTGTTCTAAAGGCATGGGTACAATGAGTTGGCCGCAATCAGTGCCAAAGAGGCTTTTGCAGCGACGGCGTCCCTTGCTGATGAGCTGAGCAAGGAGATCCACTAAAGGAGTCACCGTATTCTTTGGCGTATGATGTAAATACAGCCATTCAATTATATGAACTTTCGATGGGCCCAACTGAATAATGGCCGCAAAAGGTTGGACAGAATCTGTCATTATGACTACATCGGGCAAAACATTAAGAATCGCTCGATCAACCCAGTGGAGACGCATGATTTCCTTTAACTGGGCAACAGTCTCCTGCTGAGAGGAAGTCAAAGTGATTGATGGCCTTTTAAGGCTGAAAAAAGCGGCCGTAAAACTTTAAGGGGGATTTTAAAATAGGGTCTTATCCAATTGATATTGCCCAGCAATTGCTGCAGCTGGACATATTTCATTGTTTTTGGAACATGAAGTTCAGGGACAATAGGAATAGAATAGCTAGCTATCATTTTGTGTCCCAAATAATGAAAGGGAGAAGATTCCTGAACTTTCTCGGGAGCAATTTTCAAACCATAAAGCGACAAACAATTTATCAAATCATGTTTCCATTGAGGGGGAAGGCGTGGCCCACTCAAAAGCACGTCATCCATGTAATGACAAATTAAGAGGTGTGGATACTGCAAACGAAAAGGCTGAAGGGCTTGGCTCACATAATGTTGGCACATGGTAGGGGAATTCAACATCCCTTGTGGTAGGACCTTCCATTGGTACCGTTCCGTGGGCTGACTGTTATTTAACACAGGAACGGTAAAGGCAAAGAATTTACGATCCTTCTCCTGTAGGGGAATGGAGAAGAAACAATCTTGCAAATCTATTATAGCCAATTGATAAGAATGTGGAATCACATTTGGATTAGGCAGACCACACTGCAAAGGCCCCATGGGTTCAAGGATCTGGTTTATTTTCCTTAAATCCTGGAGAAATCTCCATTTGCCACTCTTCTTTTTTATGACGAAGATGGGTGTATTATAGGGGCTAACTGAAGGCTCAATATGGTCTGCCGATAATTGTTCATTCACTAATTGTTTTAAAGCAAGTAGCTTTTCTCCCGTTATGGGCCATTGTTCCACCCATACAGGACTGGTAGATTTCCAGCTGAGGGGAAGTGCAAGCTTACTCATTAAATTGAATGGTAGCTTGTAATTGCTGTAGTAAGTCTCTTCCCCACAGATTGAGGTGGATTTTCAGCACACAGGGCTGGATGTAAGCAATGGTTTCAGAGCTATCAGGCAGAGAAACAGGCAGCCACTGTATGCTTTTGGAAGAGGTTTGGGGGCCACCCACACCCCAGACTGCAGAAGCAGACTCAAGGGGCCACGTGGGGTCCCAGCAACTACTAGAAATTACAGAAACGTCTGCGCCTGTGTCAATCAAGCCTTCCAGCACAATACCATTGATTTTATACTTACGAAGAAGTTTCTTTTCACCAATCCTCTGGACTACAGCTAACAGCTGTGGAGGGAAAGAAGAGAGCTCGTGCAAATTACTATCCATAATAGAAGCAGTAGGATGAGAAGGGAGCACCACCAAATGCGCCCAGGACTCACCCTTTTTTAATTGCATGGGCATATGGCTCCAGAGTTGAACCATTATTGTGCCTACATAGTCAGGATCCAAAACTCCTGGAATAACCTGGATTCTTTCTTTTGCCGCAGAAAATTTGGGTAAAATTAAACCTGCGACTTTAGGAGGCAGTGGGCCTGCCAATTGAGTGGGCATAAGCACAATTTCTCCATTCAGCACAGGGCATTGTTTCTATTCAGTCCCTAACCCACAGATCAGTTACAGGGAGGTGCTTGGACCACCTACCTGCACCCCAGATAATGTCCCGGGTTTAATGTGGGGCTCAGGCTGGCAGAAAATGCCTCTTGGTTTAGCAAAGGGGTAATCTTGATGGTTCATATTTCTCCTTTCAAATACAAAAATTGAATATGTGGCCGTGTTTTCAGTTGATCAAATGGTTGTTTACAAGCAGACAGATTTTACAAGACATACCTTCTTCTTCTTCCTTTATTTCCCCTTTTTCTTCTTTAACACTCTGCTCTTCATTCCGTGAGAGAGTTTCCTTTTCTCTGGCACCTTGAGATGTGGGGCAGGGGGTCGGGGGGAATCATAAGGAAGTCCAATTTAGCTTGGCATCTAAGGGCACTACCAGAATAGAATACCCTATTGGATATTTTTATTTGCAACCAACTATGGAATATAGAGCTGTAGGACTCTACGGTAAAAGCCCCAAGGCAAGGATGTAGTAGTGGATAAATTCTGTGGATTGGGGTAGTCTACTTGTGCCTGTTCAGATATTGCTGGACTCCAGCCTCAGCCAGCATTATCAGGGATGATGGGAATTGTAATCCAGCTACAGGACTGTTCAAATCACAGATTAGTCATCTGTGCTATAAGCCATTTGAGGGGGATTGTACCCTCTGTTGGATTGTTTTTGTACATCTGCAGACCTTGTGCAGAGGCAGATCTAGGGGAACATGACTGGTTTGGCCACACTGGGCACAGAGCTTCTGGGACACTGCAGCAGGTGACACAACTATGAAGTCCTACAGAAGGCCGGATTTGGGCGTCACATGGGAGACCACTGAAATGTGAAAAGCCAGGGTCCACCATTGCCTTGTAATTACTCTGAGCATGTAGATAAATCTCTCTTGGGTCTCTGCTATAGCTGCAATCTTATCTGCACTCATAGGAGCCAACTCCTAGGGGCTGAGGGCTCTTTGCACCCCCAAAATTGATGGGCATTGCCATGCAAATGGTGTGTATACACTGTGTCTTCTGATCGATTATGTGGAGAGGGGCTTACCTGGGGCCCCCAATATTTTATGCAAGTTGGCCCCACTGTCTGCACTCCACTCCTCACATGAATTCACTATTAGAGAGAGCGATTTATACGGTACCTTTGTGTATGACTGCCCAAACAGTGACTGCAAGAGCGAGAAGAGCGAGAAGAAGAAAGACAAACATCACCCAAAAGGCAGTGCAGGAACAATAATTCTCTGAGGTACTGTTGCCTGAAAGAAAGAAATGGCAGAGAATAAGGGATGCCTTTTTACATGCTATGATAGTCAGACAATCAGGCAGTATGATTAATCAACTGAAAACCTTTCCATTGATTAAAAATAGGTTCCTACTTGATCAGGCAGCAAGATATTTTAAAAATGATAACCATTTTAAATGGAACCACTTGAGTTCTGAGATTTTTGGAGTCATTGCCATCTATCCAGGGAATCAGTATCAGTCGTGGCAGCAGGAACTCATGGAGGACAATGGAGAAGACTCTGGTAACACATTATTCAGAAGTTCAGCCAGGTCCTTTCTTTGCTTATTAGATTATGATGTCGCAAAGAGAGTCATGGGAAATATAGTTGTAAGGGGGCCTGGTTTCCTTTGTTACCCCCCCTCCCATGCTCACATGAACCAACAAAAAAAAATACGTTGTGCCACTTTATAAGCATAGATGCAAATTTGGAACTAACTGCTAAAATTTAATCAGAAATAGTATCCAATTCACCCTAGTGAATAGATGACCCAGGTTCCTGCTCAGTTTGCTGAGCAGTCACTAACTGTCAATGATCAAGTTCAGGGCCACTGCTTTCCCTCTTATGGCACTTCATCTTTAAACCAGTCTTGGACTGGGAAGCTTTTCAAAGAGAGGGTGCCTTCAAATAGGACTGTCCTTTGTGAAGGAGAGGTCATCTCTGGTGATTACTGTAGCTTTAAATTTTACACCACAAATGCAAAAGTTAGGCCTGAGCTATTTCCTCTGTGCCCGTCCTACTTTGTGATTCATACCTTTTGAAGATTCAACAACCAGAACAGTTTGGGTCTGAGCACCCCAGTCTTTGGTCTTGACAATGCAGCTGTAGCTTCCTTCATCAGACTTTTGGGCCATTTTCAGCATCAAGGAAACATTTCCAGTGTCCAGTCCCTCTGTGGCAAACACTGCCCTGTACTCATAGCCTTGCCCAAATGTTTACTGCCCAGTGAAAGCTGTGAACTGGTAGATGTTCTCCGTGTTGTCATCTACAGTTTTTTTCCACTGAACTTCCACGTTTTGTGGCAGAGCCCCAGAAGAGCTCTGGCATGGCAAGATGACATCTTGCCCCACATACCCAATGACAAATAAGGCAGAGTTCAGTTCAAAATGGTCTGGAAAAGAATCACAAATATTAAAGGCAACAACAGCACCACCAAGTCTGAGGTTGAAACGTTTCCCCAAATGGTACATCTCGGGGTTTGGATTCCCTACAGAAGGGGCAAATATTTTCCCTCCACGTGACTTTGTGTACATGGAGGTGAGCGGTGAGATTGGGGAATATTCTGATTGAGAGGAACAGGCAGCCTTTACAAGGATCTCACCTGATGTATGGGCCAGACTTGTCTACAGACCTTTGGGGCACTTGCACTGAATACCATTTTTAAGGTTCATGTTGAGGTTATTTGATGATGGCTACACTATCTGATTATCGCTATCGGGGAAGGTATGAATTAAACGGCCTCGGCCCAGTCTACCTGAAGGAGTGTCTTCACCCCCATAATTTAGCCTGGACACTGAGGTCCAGCTCTGAGGGCCTTCTGGCGGTTCCCTCACTGCGAGAAGTGAAGTTACAGGAAACCAGGCAGAGGGCCTTCTTGGTAGTGGCACCCGCCCTGTGGAACGCCCTCCTGTGAAATGTCAAGGAAATAAACAACTATCTGACTTTTAGAAGACATCTGAAGGCAGCCCTGTTTAGGGAAGTTTTTAATGTTTGATGTTTTATTGTGTTTTAAATATTCTGTTGGGTGCCGCCCAGAGTGGCTGAGGAAACCCAGCCAGATGGGCAGGGAAATAATAATAATAATAATAATAATAATAATAATAATAATAATAATAAATATAATAATAATTTATTATTATTAGAGTTCCTGTATTTACAGTAGACTCTCTTCAGCTGGCTTTTGGCCTGTTTGCACTCTTTGTCAAACCAGCTGGAAGATCCCAACAAACTTTGTGAGCCACTACTCTTGATCTCAGTTCTCAAGTGGTCTTGCAATCTGTCAGTCAAGGTCTTAAATAAGTTCATAGCCTCAACAGCAGAGGTAGCTGAGATGATAGCAGCAGGAAAAGCCTTTAAATCATCTGTATGAAGGAGGTGAGTGTGTGTAGCTCAATAGTGAAGAATGCATGTCTGAGATCCAAGCCCCAGCACTGGCAGGTAGAGCTGGGAGAGAACCCTGTCTGAAATTCTGGAGAGGTGCTGCCAGTCAGTGCAAACAGTATTGAGCTAGATGGATCAGTTGTCTGAATTCAGTACAGTGGTACCTTGGGTTACATACGCTTCAGGTTACCTAACCTCCAGGTTACAGATTCCACTAACCCAGAAATATTACCTTGGGTTAAGAACTTTGTTTCAAGTTGAGAACAGAAATCGTGTAGTGGCGGCACAGAGGCAGCGGGAGGCCCCATTTAGCTAAAGTGGTCCTTCAGGTTAAGAACAGTTTCAGGTTAAGTACGGACCTCCAGAATGAATTTAGTACTTAACCCGAGGTACCACTGTATAAGGTTAGGCTGCTATCAAACAAAACTAGTTAGCTCACTGAACTCTTCTCCCGCCAAAGCCTCATCTGTTACTGAGACATCCTCCTGCTTAACAGTGACTGCCCCACCTTGTCGTTGAACATTTCATTGCTTACTCCTACTTGAAATGAGAGTAAGATGTAGGGAGGCAAAAAGAATTAATTAGCTTTTCTGCAGGGCCACTGCAGCTCCTAGTTTCCCAATGAGAATCAGTTGTATAATGAGAACACAATCAAGATGGAGGCAGAGGCCTTTCTTCTGGGCATGGTTGGCCAAGTGGCGCGAAGGGAGGATAGAACTTTCTTTATGTATGCTACAACAGCAGCAAGAATACTCATTGGGAAGTACTGGAAGACACAAGAATTGCCCACCCGAGAAGAATGGCAGATGAAAGTGATGGACTATATGGAGCTGGCTGAGATGACCGGCAGAATTCGAGATCAAGGAGAAGGGTCGATGGAAGAAGATTGGAAAAAATTTAAAATATACCTTCAAAAGTATTGCAATATAAAAGAATGTTAGAAGGAGGTTGGAAAAAGAATATTAGGTCGTTTTGGTAGATACGATATAATGGAATAAGTAAAGATGAGTTGATGAATTTGATGAAATAGAAGAGGTTTAATTATATTACTTCAATTATAAAATACGTAAATGAAAATAAGATTAGAGGGATTTGCTGGAAATACGATTTGAACTAGAATACAAAATTGGGAGGTGAGAGGAGGTCAATGGAAATAAGTAAAGGGAAAAGGATATGTAAAGGTCTAACCTGTTTTTGTTTTATTTCAACTTAATGTATTTTTATATTTTTTGTTAAGTTTTGTTTTTTATTCTATCTTATTGTTCTTTTTACTTGTTTATCTTTTGCTCTGTTATGGCTAAAGTTTTCTTTGTATTTTGTATGGTTTTTCTTTTTCTTTTTTGTAACTTTAAATTTGGAATAAATATCATTTTAAAAAAAAAGAAAAAAAAAAGATGGAGGCAGACACCTTTCCAAATTCTGCTATGGCTTCTCCACTGTCAAGTAGGAAAGGAGAAATTGCAAAGATCCACCAATGAGAACCCCATGCGCACATTGATTTCTGTGTCACAACATGCCTAAAAGTCCTTCTTGGCTAAGTCCATGGTAACATAACATTATGTTGCTGCTGCTTATGTCTACACTTTTTACCTGATGAAGGGATCAGTGCCAGGAATACAATGTAGAAAGAACCAAGAATGAGATAGACAATTTCTTGAGGTTTATGGACCCCCATCCTTCTTTAGGCAGCTCCAATCTGAAATATGAGCAACAGCACCAACAAACATAATTAGGAGCAAATGCTTTGTGTTTCGAAGCCCCTCTCTGTTACATCCCCATCTATCCCAACAAATCACAGCAATCCAGGTGTCAAAGTCAAGGAAAATAATATGTTTTAATTCTGTGAAGTTTTTGCTTTTGCTTGTTAAAAAAACTCCCTTTTGTCAATAGCTACTTCCATGTGGAAATTTAATGTATCCGGGATTTAGAAGTCCTTCTTGCTAATATGCACAACAAGATACTGCTCTTTCCTTTGGCCTTTGACACTTCAGATATTTGTTTTTGGGGCTGATCTTGGGTCTTCCTGAAACCATGCAGTAAATAAAACTACAGGGATAAGGTTTGTAGTTGGTTGCCTCCCTCAATCTGATTGTTTTATTGTTATGTAGCATTGAGTTGGGATGGGAGAGAAATTTGGTTTGGTTCATATTTCAATGTGAAATAAGAAAGATGAACACAAATATACACACAAACTGAAACGCAGCAATCCTTCAAAATTCACACTGACTCATGTGATGCAGTTCTCTAACCAAAATCTGTGTACAAAAATGCACACATTAGGGGAAAGTGAGCACCAAAAGGTCCGGTTCTTGTTGGCCGTTAGAAAACATATTGTAATTTAAATCTCTGCAAAGTACACATACCTCACACCAGCACTGAGAATTGCACATTCATCCATTGGGGAAAAAACTACTTCCTGGATGCTTTCTCAGACGTATTTTGCTGGAGAAAGAGAGAAACGAGAAAGAAAGAGAGAAATGATTAAAACGCTCTGCCCTTGACTACCAGAAACCAAACTGCGGTTGGTGTTTGTTTCGCTTCTGTTCTTGGCAGGGTGAGAGCAAGTTCAGTGCTGCTGAACCTTGGCCAGAAAAAAACAGATAAAATTACAGATTAATTTAGGGGAAGGGCTGAAGCTGAGTGGCAGAGCATTTCTCTTGCAGGCAGAGTTAGCACATGCTGATTTTATGCAAATATGTGCCCTCTTTTGCCTCTTTTCTGGAGATGCGTAAGTAGCTACCCTACCAAGAAACGTTTCTCCTGCTTCAGTTGAGCAACCACCTCCCAGCAATAAAACGTAATGTTTGCATGAGCAGAATACTTGCCAATATGATAAATGGTGTATTGTAGAGGTAGGGTTTGCTTACTGCTAAGATCACTTAAAACTGTGGTTCACTATGAAAGTCCTCTTAGTAAAGACACAGGTGGGGGGACCTCCTGACAATGCTGTTTGCAAGTACAGTGTTTTAACTGGAGAAAGAAAATGACAACTGCTGCAGAGAGGGTCTGCAAAAGAAGCAAACAGACAAAAAACATGCAGTCTGGGCAGGGCAGAGCCCTAATTTGGAGGGTTCAAGACCTTCCCTACTCATGGGGGCATGTTTGCAGACATCGCTGCTGGTATAAGAGAAAAGGATTGCAAGGAAGCCTTGCTCCAAGCACCTTGTGCATATGAACATGCCCAGTGTCCTGTCCCCCTGCTGCCCTGATGTTCACCTCAGCATGCATGCCAATAATAAGAGTACCACCAATGATACCTAAAAAGTGTAGGCTGGCCAAGAGTGCCTTTAACCCAATATGACCTCATTTGATCACCCCATCACTGCATCCAGTTCATGTCTTCTATAAATAAAACCACAATTCAAAAACAGCCCTCTGCAGATCCTCAAGAAATAAGTCACAGCTTGCCTTGGACAGGTGGATGCCATCATCCTGAAAAATGGTGGGGAAGATCAATGTGAATCCTGCCATGAGGAATGTACCCCAAACAAAGTCCTTAAACAGGCAATTCACCTTCCTGCGGGCCCTATCCACCTTGATTGGTAGGTGTGCCTCTTGCCACACACAAGGCTCCAAGAACTCAGACCAAACCAAGGAAAGAAAGTATGGATCCAGCAAAGATCCTTCGTAACTCACTAGGATGTTAATTCCTGTCCATTGGATGAAATAATTCTCACCCAAATGGATGTGTAAGATGTGGGGGAAGAACCCAGGCACCTCAAGGTGAGAAAATGTGGCCAGCAGTTCTCCTCAAAGCATTCTT